AATTGACCATTCTGTTGTAATTGTTCTAACTGGTTCTTTAATTTCTCATTCTCTGCCTCACAAGCATTTAACTTATTACTAACTCTTGAGGGGTTAAAGTTTTCAACTGTTCAATCTTCTGAGTCAATTTAATAATTTCTGTTTCTTGTTGTTTAATCTTATCTGTTTCTGTCTTTTGTTTCATTCCTCAGACAATGACTGTAATGTGTTCAAGGTAGCGTGTGTGTCTTGATAATTGTAAAATTCCTGATAATCAAACATCACATACTCAAATTGTTTCAATTGTGCTGCCTTGACATCTTCTTGTATAGTAATATAATAACATTATAATATTAACAATTACAAAAAGCCAAATATTATCAATGAAAATCTTATAATTACCACAAAATCTGCTTTGCATTTTGATTCCAATTAAAATATTTATAAACTAAAATATATATATCAATGCAAACAAAAAATAGTACTTCTGGTTAGTTATTAACATGTTTCTTTAGGAGACCAAAGCCAAACCAAACAACAACACTCACGTTTTGTCATCTTGGACTCTGTCAAAATATAAATTGTTTTTTTTGTTTTTCCAAAAAACAAAAAAAATCAAAAAAAAAAAAAACAATTTGTGTCTGTCCTACCAAAAAAAAACCAATAGGATAAATAATTAATGTGTACATGTTGATCAAATAACAAAATTTTTAATTTTTTTATTAAATATGTCTTATCGACCTAATAAAAGAAGCAGAGAAACTGAACCAAGGGAAAGAAGAGGGTAAGTGTTTTAAGGATGGTGGTAGTGGTTATCACCCGCCACCTGTTGTCACTCTAGTTATAGAATAAATACTGAGATTTTTGTATTTACCTAGAAAAAGTAGTGATTCTGATGATTATTCGTTTATTGATGATGAAGAATCAGAAAACGACATTGGTTACATTAGTTCTCCTCCTTTCTCTTCCTCATCCGATAATGATGAAATGGATATAGTCTAAAGACTAGTGCTGTAATCCAAAAAAGGAAAAAGTATGGTTGCAAAAGTGGTTGCAAAGGTAATTGCAACCACTTTTTATATGCCATAAATACAATTACTACCGTCATCATAATTTACGGCACTAGTCTTTAATATAGTCAATTTTGTTGAATCATCCAGCAGTACCTTCGAATGGTGCATTAATGACTTTCAGCATTTTTATAATTGCCCTTCATGTTCCCGAACAATCTGGAGTAATTCATTTTATACAAGAACATCATCAGAATATTACAAGCATTGTTGGAGATTGTGTATATTGCCTCACCTTTATAAAAAAACAAAAAACATCTTTTTTGGCTCATTGATGCATTCCAAACAGATCATGAGAAAAATCATTTGATTAAAAAGAGGAACATAATTTATAAAATAGAAATTTTCAAACTTGCTGAAAACAATAATCAAATTCAATGGGAACAAATAAGTCCTACTCAAATAGGACGTAAATGCATATACTATAAAGTCTGGAAAGATAGCACCCCCTACTTTAAAACAATTGAGCATCAATATAAAAAAATTGTTACACATATGTAAAAAGGGGATGCTATCTTTCCAGACTTTATGGTATATTATCAAGAAGTTGGCAACTATGGCATTAATGAGCTTTGTGAATTTTCAAAGCTGTTTCCAACTAATAATATTGCGATTAAAGTTGACATTATTATAAAATTGAAATTATATTGTGAAGATGATATACCACCACCATCAATGTTAGCTAACAATAATATTGTTGATAAATATCAACTCACAATAGAAGAATGTTTTTTTAATAAAAAAATATATAGCGATATTACCTTTGTATTTAAAGATGGAAACAAGATGCATGCATTAAAATCAATCTTATCAGCAAGGTCAACATATTTTAACAAAATGTTTAATGGCAATTGGAAAGAAAAAAATGCAGAAGTCATTCCAATAGAGGGTGTATCTTGTGAATGTTTCACAATATTAATATATTTCATCTATACCAATAAATTAGATGAAAATATAGAATTAGAAATTCTAATAGAATTGTATGTGGAAGCCAATATTAGAGAAATAACTAATTTGAGCAAATTGATTACGAAAAGGATAATAAATCAAATTGGAAACAACAACTGGGGAAGAGTATTGTTACTTGGATCTGCTACAAATAATATTCCATTAAAAAATACAGCGATAAAACATGCTTGACATAATTGGAATGATGTCAAAAAAACTGATGAATGGGCCAATGCAGGGTTGGCAAATTGACTGGTCCATTGAGAATAAATGGATTTTGGATTGGTCCATTGCCATTAATGAAATACTAAATATGGTTAAAGTGTTGCACTAATGGACCCAATGGACCACCAATAGACCATCAATGAACTGCACATTTGCCAACCCTGGGCCAATGTAATGAGATATGGCGATACTGACATAATCAAAGAAGTGTTCTTAAGAGCTCAATTTGGATTATGAAATGGTGACGAGACTGAGGACTAATTGGATTTGTTCCTGAGTGCAAATATGAATTTTGTTGGTTTAGAAATTATACAAAATTTGATGACAAAGTATATATTTATGGGTTGTAAATATAGTAGCAGATAACAATTTGGTGAATTGATTTACCTATTTGATAAATAAATAAAGCTATACACTCCAAAATATGTATTTATAAAGATCACAAATTTCTTTATTCAAAATACTTTTTGGCATCATAATAATATTAATATTAATATAAATTTTTTTTCAATGCAACAAATAATAAATAATTTACATAAATAAGTGATAATTACTGACTTTTTTGCCTTTCTCTTTATTGTTTTCCATTTTGTCATTGCCATCATCACCACTTTTTATTATTGAATCCTAATTATCATCATTTAAAAAAATTCTTTTTCAATCATCAATAATAACATTTGTCATCATCATAAAAGATGAATTTCATATTAATTATTTCGTGTAGTAATTCTACATATTTAAAGAAACAGAGAAGACAACAAATAAACCTGTCTACAAACAGGCATAGGTAGTTATCCAGACATCATAAGTTTTTTAGTTAAATAATAATTTTTATTGCATGATTTTTTTTAAATGGCACAACTATTTAAACCTATTTCTTAACAATTTTTTTTTTTTGTTTTAGGTCCATAATCTAAACTATTTAAAATATAATTCAAAGTATGTCAAAGTCAAAAGATACT